ACAACGAAACTGGCTGTATTTGCAAGAAGTGATAGTTCGCCAAGCTGTAGAGGAGGTATTTAGCACTGTGACCGAAACTTCGTCCAATGCAGTTACTGTTAATGCCATTACGTAAACCTATCCATTCTCTACCGTTTCCCTTTTTTCCCCACTCTCTGGACTCTTTTGAAACCGGGCTACGAATTTTTGAAGTTTTGTAGCAAGCACCGCCCACCTACAGCACGCCCCGCCCATAATGGGTGTGTCTCACTCATTTCGTCCGTCAACTAATTTCCCATTTTGCCTTTCCACTCTCTGTGCTGTTTTGTAACCGATTTACGGATTTTCGAGAATTTTGTGGCAAGCACCGCCCACCTACAGCACGCCCCGCCCATAATGGGTGTACCCCCCTCATTCCATCCTTCAACTGATTTTCTATCGTTTGCCACTTTTCCTACTCTCCGGGCTCTTTTGGAACCGAATTACGAATTTTTGAATTATGTAGCTCACAACTGTGCGCACGCCCCGCCCACAGTGGGCGGGGCTTGGCTCAGTTAATGTGTCTTCCGTACATGCCTCTCAACTGACCCTTCCGGTAACGCCAAATTTTCAGACACGCAGACAGACAGACAGACAGACACACAGACAACTTCTGGTTTATACACAGGGGGGGGGGCAAAAAAAGTCACTTTTCTTCATTGACTTTCGAGGCGCTATAAGTTACACTTTATAAATTCTGATCGGACATTTCTACCACCATATTAAAGAGCATATTAAATACTATTATAAAACTCCGCCACAGCCTTCTGGACGAGCGCCATCGAGAGATTCTGGCACGCGACCGCGATGTGGTGCCTGAGATCAGCGAGAAGTCGAAGTTGTAGTGGGGATGGTACGATTTCTCATATTAGTGCGTCTCACAACAAATTGCTTGTCGATTGATAGGGGCCAATCAATCAAACGGAACATCTTTGAGACCTCATTGCCAAATCCACCAAACACGTGAGCTGCAAAGGATGTGCATGATTGTAAAGCCCCATGATAATGATCCGTGCAAGTGATAGGGCTGCTGAGGGAGCGTGAGCTCGTTCGCAGAGCCAGAAGGGTCTTAGAGTCAACTGTTGCGGTTGGTATCATTGATGGAAACGCCGCTTTAGCAACGCTCAATCCACACCCCGTCACAAGCTCCATCGTGTTTAGTGATCATGAGATTATATCTGTTCGAAATAAACCGGAGTCTTTGGATCACAAATATGACTCCCACTGTGGCTGCAGCGTGGAAAAAAACTATTATGAAAATTGAATTTTCTGGTCAGCGCCAGTGATTACACCTGGGAGTGATTACGCAGCGACTTCGGTGGGGAAAGGTGACGCCTAATCGATGATTATTGTTAAGGCGACGTCGCGAATGATAGCTGTCAAGACTTAGTACATTTACATTACAGTGCTGTTCTTTAAAAGATCGCGTGTACGATAGGCGCGGCGGTCCTGGCACGCTAAGCGGAGAGAACATTCAAGACACCGTTTAGGGACATAGAGGCGGCGTCAACTCAAGCCGCCCGTCATTGTACGTCGAGCTGCCATCCCCACTGGGCTCTTTGTCCAGCCGCCAACGTCGTCATAGGTATGTGCTGACCGCCGTCCAATCAACGAGCCGAGAGCGAGGAATCAGGATCAGCTATGGCCGACGATCGTCTAAGTGAGCGCCAGGACAGAAGGTGCATCCGTACTTACTGGACAGGAGGAGTGGGATGCTTCCGATGCTCCTAGTGGAGTCTAGGCTACGGCCCGTGAAACTTAGGCATGGTTCGTCCCCGTGATATAGGTCGTACCACTGTTTACTCAGTAGTTATTTCTTCATTTCTGTCCCATGGCTTATTCGCCAGGGTAGTACATTACTTAATTAGTCTAGTTGTTGTTTCATCGTATTCGCTTTCACATAGTTATTCTTCATAGTTATTTGATATGCTGGTTTCCCGTTCGGGTTAGATGTTAATGGCACTGTAAGCTTAGTGAGCTATGCGAGCAGTCACCTTCGAGAAAGCCCATAACAGGGGCATAGGTGACTAAGCTAACATCGAATACTTGGCCATATTTCATACACCGTAGGGGCAGTAAGGGCCTACTGGTTGCGGAGAGCAACAACAAGCACCCATGTGGCGAAATCCTGGGCGATCAGGCGAGCGTATCCGCGCCGAGCGCGACTCTTTTGAGCGCAGGTGAACCTCGGTGCTCAGATGGAATTGGAGAAGGGATAGTGGCCTACCGCACAAAAGTGGTTTCGATCGTGGTAAGGTTAGTGGTTAATCTGTATGGACCATTCGAGAGCACTCTCTTCAACTGATTTGCGAAATATCGTCTTAATTACCATTCACCACTGGACTTACTGCTTGGGTTCAAGTGAGTACAGTGAATGACCAAGCCGAGTTTTGAAAATGCACTATCAGTCGACCACGACCGATACATTTTAAACATCAAAAATATCCTACCATATGTAATCCGCAACGTTTGTCTGTTCGTGTGTATGTGCGTGTGTGTGTTTGACCGGAAATTCATAACTTCCTTTAAATCAGCTGGTGTTCAAATTGATAAGTGATATGGAACCTGCGACAGGAATATTTCTGGTGGGTGACAGAAGATGATAACGACTGATAAGAGCTGATCAACCGCCTGAGAGGGCAGGTTCAGTGAATTCATAACTCGCGTCACAGCAACGGTGGAATGTTGATTCCAAGAAGTGGTCTAGGGGCTGGACGTGAGGATCATTGGTGGGTGGCACGTAGTGATAACAGCTGACAAGGGCTGACGAGGGGCCCATAAAATGGTAGGGTCACCAGAATAGTAACTCGCGTCACAGCAACGGTTTAATGTTGGTTCCAAGAAGTGATGTAGGGGGCTGGACGTGAGGATCATTGCTGGGCGGCAGGAGGTGATAGCAGCTGATAAGGTACCATAAGAGGCATTAGAAGGGAAGATTCAACAACTTCCAACGGGCCACTGCGGCGAAGAGATGTTGGCACCAGGAAGTGATATAGGGAGTTGGACGTGAACATAATTACTGAGCAGCAGGAAGTGATAACAGCTGATAAGAAAACTTATTATATTCAGAAATGGGGTCCCCCAATCATAATACAAGTTGTAGCAACGGTGGGGAAGCTTCCAACAAGTAATTCAGGGATGGCTGGAGAACATTGGTTGCTTTGCGATTATCGTCGTCCAAGAATCAATAAGCAAAGCCTTTATGAGTCAACATGTTTATACCTCTACGATGTAGTCGAAGATTCGACCGCTAAACACTTGAGCTTCGACAAAAAGTGAATGCTAGAAGTTGGTTGCCAATGGGGAGTGATAATGATAAGAGCCACCGACACGGAGATACGTGGAAGCTGCTTCACCATTTTACGAAAATTCTAGGGTGTGAAGAAAAAATTCCTTCGACCGCTAGTCTGTCCAGGCTTCCAACGAGTGGTGAGTGTTCTCGAAAGTGTGATAAGCGCTGCATTGGCGTATAATCATTAATGAGGTGAAGTATGAAGAAGTCAGAGTCATGGGTGACACTGAAAAGGAGAACTCCACATTGCTTGTAGATGTCAAGGTGTGTGTCTCACGGAGAGTTCGAATGTTGCTACCGAGAGGACGTCCCCAGTCCCATTTGTTGGGTTTGTTGGGTTCTCTCCTTGATTTGCTTCAAGTGCGACCGCAACTTACTAACACATCACATCGCAGGCGGTTTTGCGAAAATTTTTGATTATCGAATATTTTGATTTTCCCATTTTAGCTGCACTATATCTGCCCCCCTTCCACACCATTGCATGGATCTGAAAGTACTTCAATGAACGACCTTGATTCTGTTGCCATCAAATGAAGGAGTTCACCCGCTGAGTCTCTAATACTCAGCATAATATAAAAATTTGTTTTTTTTTTTTAAAAGCCGGCGCCCTTAAGAAGTGATAAAATGTAGCGCAGATGGTATCTTATCGTTTTTATCGATTGATAAGATTACCTGTCACCCGTCATCAATGTCCTCATCACTAAAACTCTATGATTTGGTAGCGGGAACCATCTTTTGGTAGCGGAATCACCAGCTACGACTACCGTAACGTCCCTTATCGCCTCCTACACGTGTTCCCATCTCACCCTCTATATCACTTGCTGAAACGTACGCCTCTCTGATGCTGTGACCTGCTCTATGAATGACCTCACCTCTTCTAGTGCCCCTTATCGAATGTTATCAGCGGCTTACAGTTCTTATCATCCACCACTTATGTTCTTGTATGTTCTTGTACCCCATATCATAGCTTGGAGTCAAAAGCCAGCTGATGCTGTGCGCTATGAATATGGTGACCTCCCCTTCTAACGCCTCTTATCGGATCTTATCAACTGATATCACTTCCTGTCACCCACCAATAGTGTTCCCGTCACACCCCCTACATCACTTCTTGGAACCAATGTCTCACTGGGACCGGCGTATGAATTTCGTGACAAACAGACGAACGTACACATACACAGACATACTTAGCGAATTATATATGGTAGGAAGCTTGCAAGATCCATACGTTCCGATATCTGAGCTCGCCGGCGATCTGACTGATGACATGAAATCATTGAGGTGCGAGAATGGAAACTGGCCTAGGTGGTGTACTGTTTGGCACTGCAGTAGCCCGTTGGGCGTGAGGTGCGGTTCGCGGCCTGCCTGGGTTCAAGTCTTCTGGTCCAAACTCAACAGTCTCCTGACGATGGTTCCCTTGTTTATGTTTGAATTACGTTTCACGGGACATTTAATTTGTTTCTGTGATTTTGAAACCATGAAAGGGGACGCCTGGGAGCCACCGTGCAGAGGATTCGTTTTTTGTGGTAAGCTTACATGGCATGTAGCAACATGTTTAACGTTTACTCAGCAACATGTTCAAAATTCTACTAAACCGGGCGAAAAAGTTGACATATAAGTTTCAAAGCCGCAGATAAAGGTCATTCTTGCACCAGCTCCGATCGTGGCTCTAATCAGCGTGAACTAATTTCCTCTACTTAACCACAACTTTCCTCATTTTGAAAAATATGTGGAAGTCGGCAATCTCATACAGCTTTATTCCAAAAAAAAGTGAAACAGAATTACCTGGTGCCCATAGGACATCGTCATCACCCGCCCACAGGAAAGGATCTTTCGAAGAGATCTCCTTGAATGAGCATGGTTCAGAAACAATCGTGTTGCTATGTGCTACGTGCATTTATGATTGACCAGCTTTGATGTGACGGATGAAACATTAAGAGCTAAATCACTTACTTCAGCCATTGACGCAAGTGCTTTCTCGGATTTCTTAGGCAACTTTGTTGGCGATGGAGGAAGATGAGGAGAGCTTCTTTTCTTTTGGCCGCGTAAAAGCACAGCGAGTATAACAAGTGCTACTATTACTATCAGAAGAATTAGCAAAGCAGCAACGACCAGTACATACTTCCATCGTCCGCTCACCACAGCGTTATCTCCAACTACAGCATGCCCATCCCCTTGCTGCTGGTTTGGGGGAGGCGCTTGTTCTGAAACAGTCAGTCTGTTTGGAATTGTGATGATTATCAGTCCTCCTCTTTTTTTTGCTTGAATTTTGATGCTGATCGGGTGAATGCCCTTTTCATGAAGTTTAGTTTTCTTCTCACTTCAGTAAATCATGCTGCGATGAATTGCTACGTTGGAAACACCTCGCATTTTGTTGTGGTTCAGTCCCCTGCGGTTTCATTCGCGTGCCTGGGTTCTGTCACACTCAGCGGATCATGAGTAGCACTCACCAACTATCAAGGGCCCATACACCCACATGAACGCAAGCGTGAGTCGCGGTGGGCACCCATGCCTAGAGGAAGCCAAAACTGCACCTAGTATGTTGTAATTTGTTCTGCCGAAGAGGTTGGTAGGTGGAAGACTCATTGAAAATGGCCTGACGTTTCGAGAGGATCGTCGTCCTCAGAGACCTAAACGTAGCTCGTTTAGATATTGCATCCTCTGAACCCGCCAAACCCCTCGACACCCTAGTTTCTGGCAGAATCTTAGGAGAAGGTGGACTGGTGAGTTCGTTTCTCACGCTTAAGATTCCGCTAAAAACGCTAGGGTGTCGGGACGTTTGGCGCTCTAGAGGATGCAATATCTAAACCTTTTTTTGAAACAAAATTCGTTTTTGTTTTAAAAATGAAATTTTGCAAGCAAGCTTGATATCATCTGATAGGAAACTTCTCGTAGTATAAGAATATCAAAACGGCTTCGGTTGAGGGAATAATTTTTGTGGATTTTTTAGTCGTTGAAGTTGAAAGTGAAGTCGGCGAAAATTAGCACCTTCGACAACTGCCTCTATTTACGTCTACTTAAAGTGCTAGAAGGCTCAGCAAGGGAATCTCAGTATGACGTGAGGTCGATGAGAATTAGCGTCCCCGACTTCCTCTCCCTATCGCTGTCCAGAGCTCCTAGAGCAGCTCAATAGAATCGCCATGGTTTGAGTAAGGCATAGAGTAACAGATTAGTATTAGGACGGCTCACAATTGATTCTGGAAAAAAGCACAACCGACAACGTTGACCTTGCAGACATCCGGTCGACCCATACCTCATGATTTTTTTTGTTTTCAGTTGTCGAAGGTGCTAATCTTCGCCGACTTCACTTTCAACTTCAACGACTAAAAAATCCACAAAAATTATTCCCTCAACCGAAGCTGTTATTCTTATACTACGAGAAGTTTCCTATCAGATGATATCAAGCTTGCTTGCAAAACATTTCACTTTTGGAACAAAATTTTCAATTGAAAAAAACGCCATTACTTATGTGCCTACCAATACAATGATGATCCATGCAAACGACTGGGCCTGCGATGCAGCGCCGAGGGCGGCCTTATTCCAACAATAATGTCATCCTGAGTCCACTAATATTGGTGAGAAACCTGCGCTGCGCTTCAAATAGAAGAAGAAATAGACATAGAAAAAAACTACGACAGAACCAGGGTTTGTTTTAATGGCGCCGCCGTATTATGCCATATCATTTTAAAGGGTTACGGCTGTCACTCTTCAGTCCTACCAATGCTGTGTATACGATCATATATACTAATATGCTAAACATTACATAAATACTTTGAATCACCTGTAGTCGTGCTAGATTCTTCTACAGTGGTGCTAGATTCATTCTTCAGCAAGGGATTGTTGTACCAGAAAACACGAGGATCGCCTTCTCTTATTGCTATACCACGTAGCTTAGGCATTGATAGCTCCGTCAGGTCAGAATTATTCACAAGGATAACTGGTTGCCAGAACCTTACTGTAATTAAAAATCTTGTTATAACCTGTATCACTTGGTCTTTGAGACAACAAGAATCTCCTGTTTACTACTTTTTCTCATTCTCACTCATTTTCTTCCTACGGTCCTGACTCGTTTTCGATAGTGATACCAAACCCACCCTCAGGATCAGCAACTGTACATTCACCTGTCAGGACGCTCGTTTCCAGGTGCGAGGTAAATGAATCCGCAGCTGCGGTAGCATGCGACTTTCTCAGCTCAACATTGCATACGAATGGGTCCGGGAGGGTAGTAATGCCTGTCCCCGGCTCCACCTTAAGCCCTGAGTCCACACTAGATCCTCAAGGTGCGGCCAAGGTTCGCCAGTATTGCGTCAATACTGCGGTCCTGCCAGCAAAACACATATAACTCAGGACTAAATAATTGGAAGCGAGAGGGCGCAGGCAAGTAGCGCGCTTAAGCGGTGGATGACGCGCGTTGACGCTCTGTAACGCGTGTCGACGCGCCATAATGCAGCAGAGATCAATAGCCATGCATGTGAGCACGGCCGCAGACGGCCTGCGTCGATCAGTTCCTGTCTGTGAACGCTCGATCTATGGGTGCCAGCCGCTCAGTTTTGAGAGAATCTTTCTATTCTATAAAGCAGTAACTTTGTGTGCCGGTTTTGTCGGTCTGTATATATGTATGTATTGTTTGTCGCGTCACGCAAAATGCTTCACGGGTTGAGTTCGCGGTAGGAGATAAACGACCGCTAGGCAAACCGGTAACCGATTGGGAGGATGTAGCAATCCAATGTTTTGATTGTGATAACAGCCTCCGCTATATAAGACAACCATTCGGTACACTCCGAGCCATTGCACGAGCTGCTGGCATGGCA